CCCCCGCAGGGGGGTCATGTGCCCCCCAGATTTGTGCATGGGCAGATGTGGGCTGTTCACTGTGGGCCTGGGGCTCTCTGCTTCTGCTGCCTTTTCCTCGGGAGCCCTTCATCAGCTTGTGCCCCCTGTCTATCTAGCAGCAGTGGGGGTGGTAAGTTATGACCCCGTTGCCAGGCAGACAGGGGGTGTGTGGCCGGCATGTGGCTCCCAGGGCAAAGGCAGCAGGATGGAGAGCTCTGAGCCCACAGCAAATTAACTTTAGTTCAAGCACTGCTACCACCATTTTTAAACTCGGAGATGCTTTTAAGTGGAGCCAGCTGAGCAGGGTGAGGGTGGATGCGAGCCGACTGCTGTGGGCTCGGGGTTCTCTCCTCTTCTGCCTTTGCCCAGGGATCCCAGGGCTGGCCATGTGCCCCCTGCCCACCCGGCAGTGGGAGATGCAACTCACTGCCCCCCTTGCTGCCGGGTGTGCAGGGAGTGCGCAGGCAGTGTGTGGTTCCTGAGGCAGAGCAGAGAGCACCGAGCCTGTAATGGGCAGCCTGCATCTGCCCAGCTCACAAATCTGAGGGGGCACATACCCCCACCCCATGCCTCCCCCGGGGGTGTGCACAGTGGTGGAGAGCCACCCCCACCCCTTTACACCCCCTGGATGAGTTGCCCGTGGTTCTGTCCTGCTCCTCACCCTGCCAAGTTAACTGGAGTAAATCAGTTATTGGATCAGCATTGGCCAATATGGTTGGTTGCTAATAGGCTATCAGTACTGGCCAAGAACATCTTTATCCGTGCACCCTTAATTAATGTGTCATTACAGTTAATTAATAGGGGTGTGCAAAGTTTCGGTCACCGATTTGATTCGGAGAAGAGTCAGCCTGATTTGGCAGCTGAATCATTGAATCCGAATCGATTTGGAAAAGGTTCAGAGATTTGAAAGGCAGGCTTGCAGCAAACAGAAACTGAGAAGAGGGGGAAGATACTGACATCTGTAGCTGGCCAGTGACTGTGATCTTTCCCTGAGTTCCCTTCCAATCATGGTTCTGTGGGGGAGGGACATAAAAACAACATATAAGGCTCTGTGTGAAGTGATCTAGATGCATAAACTCATGGACTTAATATAGACGTTGGATTTATGACACACTATAACCTGCCTGACATCTGGCTCCCCAGGTACCTCTACTTTTACCTGCTACATCCCACTCCTGCCCAGCCTCTCTTTCACCCCCTGATGCCTCAATTTACATTTTCAGTGCCTGGCTTTCTTGCCTGCAGCCCAGCCTCTGGCTTCTTTACTATTCATTCCATCCAGAAAGAGCACACATACCAACTGCAGATGCTTCCTCAGCCTGATGAAGGGTTTTTAAACCCGGAAGCTTGCCAAGATACATTTCTCCAACTATTCAGTTGGTCTAATAAAAGATATCACATCTGCTCAAAGAACCTTGCCTGCCTGTTAGACCAATACAGCTACAACCAAAGACCCAGTTAATGCACACAAGTGACATGAGTTTTGCTTTCAACAGTTTGAGGTGTACTTTCATAGAAGCCCTTGCACCTATCTCCTTGAAACCTGGCAGGCTTCATGTCCTCAGAAGGGGCTACCTTCCCTGCTGTTTTCATCCAATTCTGCAAAAAAATTACGAAGTTATAGGTAGTTTAGTGATTCCCCATTATAGTCTATGACCAAATCAGCACCAAATCTTTTGAATCTGATTCGGCTGAATTGATTCGGGATGGTGATCCGAATCACTGAATTGAATTGCTGTCCCGCGAATCGCCTGAATCCGAATCTGAATCGAATACTGGCTGCTTCACACAGACCTATTAATTAACTCACTGTGCTGAGTAATATGCTTTTACTCACGAAGGCGTGATCAAGTACAGTGATTCTCAGCCAGGATGCTGCAGGATCCTTTTAAGACTGTTGTACAATATTAGGTGTGCAAACACCTACATGCAATTCACAAGATAAACCCAGCAATTTCAAACAGGAATCCATAGTGTCAAAAAACATTCTGACCTGTCGTGGTTTTTCTGAGTTCTTTGCAGCAGAATTGGTCTGTTATTTTTCCTTAATCAAGAAATGAGTAAAAGCTAGGAACTGTCATTTTCCAGGGAGCACCTTGTATCTAAAAAGATTGAGAACCACTGATCTAGGAGCTGGAATAGGAGATTAGGACTGAGGACTTGATGTTGCGTTTCCAGCTCTTAGTGACTTGACCTTGGCTAGTCAGTAAGCTTCTCTGTTCCTCCATGAGTTACACTATAAAAGAGAGATTACTGCCTGCATCATATGGGTTTTGAAGTATACTTAGGGTGCATAATTATCTGCTTCTACAAAAGTATTAAGCACTGAAAAGTAAACCATCTTTGTAATCATATAGGGAGTTCCAAAGTTAGTATTTCTATACAGGTGAGAGGCATGTTAAAGAAACGAGTTTGCGGGAATACTGGTGTTCTGTGTTTCTGTCACTGATTTGATGCGTCTCCTTTCCTCTCCCAAAACAGCGATTCTATGTATTGTTGACTGGAATCCCAACAGCTTTGTTTGTAACATATATCAACGTCTTCATTGGTAAGCACTTCTGGGATACTTAAGCTTTGTATTGAATACTTAAAATGGAGCAGATGGGATGGTGTGCAGGATCATCTTCCAGTGATGACTTCTTAGAAGACTGACCGGTAAAATTGTCTTGATAACTCTGGATATAACATGTAAAAGTATACTGTAGAAGAGAGGCCTTTAGCTGACCCAACATTTCTTTCTCCATTTGTTTAATTTTGAAGGTTTCCTGAATTTTATAGCTCAGTAATTGTTCACATTATCAGATCTTGTATTTGTTCCTCTAAATTTCATAAGACCTGTCACTTACTGGGTTAGACCTTAGGTCCATCTAGCTCTAGTATCCTGTGTTTCAGTAGCAGAGAGGGGATGCTGAGGGGGAGCAGGATATGTGCAAATTTTTCTACCTCCTGCCCCTTTCCCACTGCAGCTTTTAGCATTCACAGGTTTAGAAATTTCTGATTCAGAGTCTGCATCCATATATGTCATGTTTAATACCTAGTGAGGGACCTTTTTCCTTGGGCTTATCTTATTAAATCAGTGAAGTCTGGGTACTTGCACAACAGAGCTGGCAACAGTGAGGAGCTTAGTGCTTTTTATGTAGACTTGAGTATATACCCGTGCATTGTGTGTATTTAAGAGGACACTGCCAATTGAAAATTTAAATTATACCCATCTACGTAGACTTATTTTTGCTCTAATTAATGTTTCAATTAAATAATGTTTCAATTAAGAGTTTTTTTCCTCTTTTTCCATATCGTTTAGTTTAGTGTAAAAAAACCCCCCAAAAAACAACAACCTGTTCTCACAAAGTTTCACTCCTTTTGCATAGCCAATTTTTCTTTTTTTGTTGTATATTGCCTAGTATTACTTCTGGCTCTTTTTTTTAATGGGAAGCATTTCTAATTGAAGTCCTTTAAGTCTTGTGTGCAAGAAATGTTTATTTAGTCATTGCTATTTAAAGGAAAGAACACTGTTTTTGTTGGGTTTTTTTCCTTTAGTCTGTTGATAATATTAGACCTTTCTCCATCTTGTCTTGGCAGGTGAAGCTGAACTTGCAGAGATTCCAGAAGGTTATTTTCCAGAGCCCTGGGAATACTTCAAAGTGAGTATAATGTTGAGAGGGATATGTATGTTTCAGTGATGCTTTTTATCATAACAGCAGTTTAGTGGAAGGCATTGAAGATGTTGGATATGCTGATGAGATTGGGACTCTTGCAAGGATCTTGCCAGAGTACAGTGCAGTTGTAGCTGAATTTTGTGATCTTAATCTGTCCAGTCCAGCAAATCCTGGGTCCTCATATAGAAATTGTGAAGCGTGTGTTTTTGGTATCCTAATAGAAATAGATGCGGCTAACCTGTATGCATGAGGAAGTCCATCAAGGCATTACAAGAAGTTGTGCACCTAAAAGACCTCTCATTAAGCTGTAATCAAAAGTAGTTTGGTCCCCAGCCAAGCACCCTTTTCTCTTGAGCTCCAGGTCATCAGACAATATATATTTTAAATGATTTTTTTTTTTTACCCAGTCAAGTCCTAAAATAGTCAGAAATCAGCACTCCTAGTAGCTGTGGTTCAAAGTGCTGTATCGCAAAACATTTTGGAGCTAGAAACAACTAGAAACAGCTCCCATCAGAAAGCGGGGAATTGCATCTATATTGGTTCCTGATGCATTATTTTCAAACTAATTGGTTTCTTGATGTAGCTATGGATTGATCTTTAGTGATCCAATAGAGTAATGCACAGACCTGTGCGACTACTTCAGTTGACACTTGGTTTGAAAATTTCCATAAAGACCTCCATATGCAAGCAGTGTATTGGGTAAAGTGTACGTGACAGTAATAAGTTTGGAGCTCATATGATCTTGGTAGCGTTTGAGTAATTCCATTTCAGCAATTGTTTGCTTAGGTCTTGATTTATTTTCTACTTTCTATTCACATTTGCTTATCCTGCAGTAGGTTATCTTGGATAACAGCAAAATGACAAGCAGATGGCTTTTCTTTTTCCTGAGGGTCAGATTCTGCAAAGAGCCGTTCATGTTGTAGACTATGCTATTGTTAGTACTCCCTCAGAAATCATTGTGACTGCTCATAGTATTTAAGTGGTATGTTTGTAGGACTGCAGCCACTTGTGATCAGATTTCCTGATGGTTCTGACCTATGTGGATTTCTTAAGTGGTAAGTATATGAATTGTCTGACATTTTCATTTCTATATTTTCCAGCACCCTATAACGAGATGGTTGGCTCGTTATATCGTAGACTCCCCTGAAAAGAAGTATGAGAAAATGATGAGCTTGATTGAAACGGAATTTCACAAAGCTGAACTCAGGTAAAACAGATGGGTAGTATGAACTAGCTTTTAACAGAGGCAATAGAACCATCATAGCAATTGGGATAACATAGAAGAATTTTCCATTTAAATTGAATGTATCGCTACATATGACTGTGATGAAAAATCCAAAGGTACATGAGATGTTTCTCCTAGCAAACATGGGGTTGTCACTGTCCATTTATGCAGAATTGAACTTTTTAGTTGCAGTAAATGATTCCAACTATAACGTCTCAATCAGAAACCAAATGCTACCTATAACAGTTCTGTCCTCCTGCGTCAGGAGACGGGCACATTCTGTGCCTAGTGCTTATGCTTAGCCAAGCAGCTGCACAGTATGATCAAGAAAAACAAGGACATTCATGGCTGCTATATGGAGTCTTGGCACCAGTGACATTGTCAATTCCTGAGCAACTTCACGCTGCTCTTGATGGGCAACCTGTTACTGAAGAACTAAGGTTTTTGATCAAGCCCTCCTACCCTCGTGTTGGACTTACCAGCTTTTTGGCTGGAAGGTATTTGGTAAGGTTTTCAGTTTGTGGTTAGGAAGGAGGCTGTGCTTAGAAATCTCATCAAAGGATTTTTTTATTACTCCTTAGTTGGTTTCTTGAAAACAGTTCAAGGTTTAGGCTTGATATTTTTAATATTGCTTATTTTGCATAAATTTTAGTGGTCTGGTAGAGTATATGTGGCTAAATACAGCACCAGTGCTAGTGGGCACAACTTCTTTGATATGAAAGTTAAGAAGAACCAGCCATAGGCTATTTTATGGTAGCAAATAATACGCATTGAGTGTGACTCTCATTTTCTGTTTCTTGTAGGCTGCAGGAGGCGAAGGCACGCAAACTAATGAGACAGAGGGGAGATGGGCCCTGGTATCATTATCCAACTCGTGATAAAAACCTTGTTGATAATTCTCATCAAAACTTACCTGACTTTTAAGCAGTTAATCCAATGCTCAAATGAGCTCCTAGAAATGGTTACTGAATGATGTAAGGTGTATATGCCGTTGTTTGTTGACTTAAATAAAAAATCCTATTAATGAAATAGACCAATTGTGAGAGCAAATCATGAACAACTGTTATACGTGTTAATTTAAAGGAGGTTTTCTATCAGTTGCTTTGGGTTTGTCTATTCCTCAAAGATGTTAGTGTACTATGTTGGCTTGATCCATATCTATCCAGAGGATGCCAACTCACTTCACAGAGGTCACTGGACAGCCAGCCTGCCTGGTCTAAGTTGGTCTAAGTGGTAACATTCACCTGAGAAGCAAAAGGCTCTATATTCAATTTACAACTTCCCAAACCATCTAGTCCAGGGTTCACCAACCCCCGGCACGTGTGCCGAGCATGGCATGCGAGGCCATTTTGCTCGGCATGCCACGGCTGGCCCCTGCTCTGGGTAGCTGCTGCCAGCAATGGAGCCCGGGCTGCTCCCAGCAGGGCTTGCAATGTCCCAGCTGCTTGCTGGGAGCAGCCTGGGCTCTTGGCTGGCAGCTGGGGGGGGCGGGGGTCTTGGGTGGCCGGCTCCTACCCAGAGTCGGGGTCGGCTGCAGCCAGGAGGTTGCAAACAGCTGTGCCGGGCTCCAGAGCCCTGGCATCAACTCCATGCTGAGCTTGGGGTAGGCTGTGTTGCCTTGCTGTCTGCCCTGAGGTGCATGTGCAGTCACTGCCAGCATGGAGCTGATGCTGGGGCTGCTTGCTGCAGCTGCCCAGAGCCCAGGCTGGCTACAAATAGCTGTCCTGGGCTCCAGAGCCCAGTCACCAGCTCTGCTGGGAGCAGGAGAGAGGCTGGGGTTGTGCTGCCTCAGGCCCCTCCCCTACCACCTGTTCTGAGGCACATGTGCATGCGCTGGTACAGGGCTGATGCCTGGGCTCTGGAGCCCGGCACAGCTGTTTGCAGCCTCCTGGCTGCAGCCGGCCCCAGCTCTGGGTAGCTGCTGCCAGCTGGGAGCCCAGGCTGCTCCCAGCAGGCAGCTGGGATGCTGCAAGCACTGATGGGAGCAGCCCGGGCTCCAGCAGCTACCCAGAGTCAGGGTAGCGGCTGATAGCCACAGAGCCCACGCTGGGGGGCAGGGGTTTTGGGTGGGGGGGCAAGGGGCACAAGCAGGGCATCCTGCCATGTACCTCCTGCCCTCATTTTGTTTTTCTGGCATGCCGGCACTCTGGCACCTTCTGAGGTAGGCATTGTGTTTTTCAGCACTCCTGCCAAAAAACGTTCCCTACCCCGATCTAGTCTATATTCTAATACTTAGTGTTTTAAGTGACAATTTGTTAAATTGTAACACTTGTTTTTTGTTTAATAGTAACTATCTTTGACATACAAAGCCAGAAATCCTAATATGTGAAATAATTTATTGGGATGTAAATTTATGATTTAAAAATATATCTGCAATTCTTCTGAACATCTCAAATCCAATAGATCCATCTGCATCATTATAGGCAACTCTATCTTTCCCATTATGCTTTTACCTTTTTTGTAATATTATTTTTTATTCTGTTTTCCTCCATGTTCAGACCCTGATTGTGGATTGTTGTGGTTTACTCTCTATCATTTCAGATCCCTCTCTACATCTCTGTTAGTAATCTTTCTTTCTCACTGGTGTGGCTGTGTTGCTTTCCTCTTTTGATCTCTTCATTAGTTGCTTTTTGTTCTCTTGTTTCAGACTTCCCATTGTCATCTCTAAGACTGCACGACTCAGTTCCTATCTCTTTTCCTTTGTGTATAACTTGTAGCCACCCAATTTTTAGCTTTAACTTTTTCTTTCACTTTTCTCTACACCTCTTTGGCTTGGCACTAACTCCTTTTAGGTTCAGACTGCATGTAAAATATTCCTGCCACAGTGCCTTTCAAAATGCTTTGTGTTTGGAATGAAGGGAGGATGCTCTTTAATTTTTAAGCAAGGTAGAATCTGAACCATTCTCTTCAGCCCCTGTATCATGTTCTGTACTGTATGTGTTTGAACAAGACTGTAAGTTTACTTGGGGCACAGAGCTTCTTTATCTAGGAAGGACTGAGCTCAGTGCTCAATAAATATATTAATATTTCAAGATACTTCTACTACACAGAATGACATCGTTATCTACAATACACAACTAACACTTTACATTCAAAGTAACTGTAAATCCAGTTAATCCTTTGACAAGCTCCTGGGAATTAGACGTTATTCATGGCTGACAAATGACAAAATTAAGACCATACGTATATTGTCAGGTGGGAGTGGAACTCCAGTACAAAGTGTTTTAAAAGCATGAAGAAGGATTAAGGAACACAAATCTCATTGACTTTATTGAGGGTTATGTTCCTAAATCATTTTGGGTGCTTTTGAAGAATCCCGCCCCAATGGTTTTTACTCTTATGCTGGGTTTTGAAGCAACACATGCTGAAGGACCCAAATGGGCAAATATTAAAACTCAGGGTATTCCCTATGATGGATAGGTTATTCAGCTTTTATTAATGGAAAAAGGAAGATGCTAATAGCATATGAAAAGGGAGAAGCTTCCAACTTCTACTGAACTGTCTGTGGACAAAGGAGAGAAAAGTAGGAAGCTAGTTAATGGAGGTTTCCATAAAAGCTTTAACGATGGCTGAAGAACAAGCGGCAAGGTCCAGGGAACTGTACTGATACACAGCAGTTAATAGTTCAAACTCGGGCCCAGTGGACTTGACATTGATCCACTCTTATTAAGGGAAGCGATGTGCCCAAATTTGAACACAGCTGAAAATGAGACTTAGGAATCCCTTGTTCTATTAACAAGAATTGTACAAGATAATGAGCTACCTATGCAGCATCTCGTATTTAAAAAACCTAATTGATAATTCAAATGTGCAACACTGTTGGATGCTTGATTAGGCAAGCTTTTAAATTAGTTTTTTAAACATCTGTTTTAAAAAAAAGCATTCAGGAATATTTCTGATTGTTCCCCATGTGCTAAATTAGCCCAAACAAGAGCATAATACATGCAGTGTTGTTTTACTCTACATACCCAAAAAACAGCAAGTCAAATCTGGGTATTTATGGATGAAAATATTCAGCATATTGGATCCCTGAAGAACATAACTAATTATTTTAATTAAAAATGTAAACATTTACGGAGCAATAAAAGCTTTATACTTTTCGTCTAGTTTGCCTAAAAGTAATTAGGGAACACTTTGTGGCATGTAAAAGCAGACTGTAATCCAAAATTACATTTAAGTCTTATTCAAGCAACCATCTAATGAGAAAATTCAATAAGTGAATATAGATTATGCCTTAACTAAAGGTTAAATAAGTTCATATCTAAAACTGAAGCATGGAGTTCCCTGTTACAATGCTGATAATAAGGGTGGGTGTTGTGCGATTAGTTTGTTTCTTTTTTTTTTTTTACCGAACATCAAAGGGCAGATTTGAGTGATGTTAAAGAGGGAAATGTTCTCCAGCAAAGATAATTTTAAATAGGTCAGAATTTGTAAGAGCTGGGCACAAGGACAATTCTTTTTTTGTGCTCAGATGGCAGGGTGATAAAAATTATTATAGATAATCCAATAATGTCTCAGATATGCTAGCGGCTGTATTGTGTGTCAACCTTTCTGTGTTAGTGCCCAGTGCAATGATGGATAGTCATCACTCCATCCTTCTGATGTGACACCCTAGGGCAACAATCGCTGTTTTAAATTGTAAAAATATACTCTGGCACCGTAAGGGCACACGTGCTTGCACCATCTTACATTTTCAGAATTGTACAGAGGCGCAGATGCACTGCACAAGTTTAAATGACTGTAAAGTGTACTTACTGTTAAGTGGCTTTTTTTTTTTTAGCCTGGCAGGCATTATTCTTCCCGCTAGGGGGTAGCATTTCCTCAGGGTCTGATCGCTACACATTGAATCTAGATTACTTACCGGTGGGTTTCTGATCCTTTTTTACCAACAGAAGTAGAAGTGACCCTCTTTCATTCCCTTTTGATGATAATAACCTTCCTTCTTCCATGCTTCATAGACTATTTCAAATAAGTACAACCTCGTTTGTTTTTTCTGTTGCAGCCAAATGCTGTAAAGCCCACTAAAACCAACGGGGTCTTTAGAGCAAGCTCTTTGTGATCTGCCAGTTATCTTGCTGCAGGTTAAGTGGCTTCTGTTCTTATCATTCCATTATGCTGTGTTATTAGCAAGAGAGGAGTTATGTGCTCATGAGCCTTTCCAGTTTGAAAGAAATCCCTCTATTGGAACCCTCGACTCTTTCTCCAATACCTAACAGATCCTTTGCTACCAGGACAGATGCTGCTCTCGGGTAAGTCCTGAGCAGTGGTCTCCACTGGCTCACAGGGAAGCTGTTACTTGCACCCGTAGGAAGTTGAAAAGTTTAAGGTTAACAGCGGGAGCAACGTGCAAGTCCACAATATGCTGCTTGCTCAGTGTTGTTGCCAATGAGCAAGCAAGGTAGGGGATCACTGGTCCGGAGTAATTCTACTGAGTTTATACTGTGCCCTCAGGATTTAACACACAATTTCCAATGCTGCAAGGGCTAACTTTCTTAAAAGGCTATAAATTAAGCATTTCACCCTAAGCGCTGCTTCCACACGAAGCATTTCACAGTTCTGTTTTTTCATCCCTTGATGTCAACGCTTTGCTTGCACTTTAAGGGCCTCAGTGTAAACTGTATGTAACAGCAGCAGGATTCACGTAACGGTCTATTTATCGTGTATCTTTGTAGACCAGAGCAGAAAGAAATGACTAGTGTCAAATTGCAAAAATCCCTGAAATAATTAGATACATTTTTCAGATTTTTTTTTCAATTTGTCACTAGTCACTTCTTTCCACTCCTGTTATTGTCTTCAGAGTCCCCCTATCCTTTAGCCCATCAACATCCCTTCCAACATGAGAAGAACATAAATGAACCAGAGAAAAGGAAATATGGTTTTGGACTAGACCACTACCCTGTGACTCAGGAAGTCTGGGTTCATATCCTAGCAGTGCCGCAGGCTTCCTGCATGTCCTCCGTTGGGTCATCCAACACCTGCTGCAGTTTGACCATGATATAGGTTGGAGTCTATTCAACAAATAGATTATTATAA